TAGTGTGTATTGTTCAGACCTCCTCACTGACTCCCTTTGATCTGCAGACCAGAACATTCTCTCATCTCCTGAGCATTTCCCTTCACAGGGCCACCAGCAATCTAAGTGTGGATTTGGCTTTTAGTCCACAGATATTGTCACCTGGAAGTTCCCTAATGCTTTCAGGGAATAAGGGAAGGCAAATAACATGTTTTATATATATGTGTGTGTATACATATATATATATATATAGCTTTTAAAAATTCTGACACTATTTACAATTTTGTTTGTGTGTTTGTTTGGGGGCCACACTCAGTGGTGCTCAGGAACTACTCCTGGTTCTGCAGTCAGGGATTATCCCTGAGTGTTCAGAGGACCATATGGAATGCCAGGGATGAACCCAAGTCAGCTGCATGCAAGGCAAGTACCGTGCATGCAGCTTGACTTGGTACCTGCTGTACTATCTCTCCAGCCTTGTGTGTGTGTGTGTGTGTGTGTGTGTGTGTGTTTAATAGAACCTCAGAGAGAGACTAACTTGTCCAAAGTCACACAGGACCCAACATTCAAAACCCACGTGACCCTCAAACCTGCAAACTACAAAATCTCATGCTTTGTCATTGCCAAGTAGTGTTTTGTTGTGTATATAGACCACATCTTTATCTGTTTACCTATTGTTGGGCATTTGGGTTGTTTCCAAGGGGGGCAGCAGTAGCCTCCGGTGTAACTGGTGGGGATTTTCTGTTTGTTCGCTTAAAGAAAGTAGATTCCTGGGGTGTGGGGGCAGGCACTGAGGTTTTTTTTTTTTTTGAAAAGGGGCAAGTCAGCTACAGTAGGCATAGTCTGGGAAGCTCCGCTTTAGGCACTTATTTTCCTGAAACTTTTCCTGAGTGAGAAAGAAAGAAAGGAAAAAAGAAAAAACCAAAAACCAGTAAGCAGATGTCTGAGCACTTACTAGCATGTTAGTACCAGAAGGAGAACATGAAGACAAATGTTTGTAACCAAGGTAGACCCAAGCAGATGTCCAGCAAGGCAGGGAGAGATCCAGAAGCAACAGAACCCAATCAGAGATCTAAGACACAGGACAGAACGAAAGTAAATTTGCTGTATATCCAAGTGTGTGGCTCGTTTTGAATGAAAAAGCCAAAATAAGGCAATACATCCACACATGCTCAGCTTGTTTGTAAGGAACATTCCCAAGACTTGACCAGGACCAGGGAGATAGCACAGGAGTTAAGGCAGCAGCCCGGCATGTGGCAGACCCCAGTTTGATTCCCAGAACCACATGGACCTGCGAGCACCACTAGGTGCAGCCCTCAGGGTCCTGAGCTTCTCTGCAGTGGCCTAGGTAGTCACTGGGCCAGAGCAACACTATCCCATAGTCCTGGCACTCACTACTAACCCAGTTTGCTAAGAATCACTGGGGAGCCTACGCCACCCCCACCCCACCTCCGCCTAGGCCTCCTTAGCACTGCTTGGGAGATCTAAAAAATTTTTTGCTGGCTGCTAATTTAGAGAAAAGTCATTCCAAAGAGTGACCTTGGATGGTTAGGAGATCATAGTTCATTGAAATGGATTTTCCTCTTAATATGACTTCAGCTTTGTTTGTTTGGGGGCTACACCCTGCAGTTCTCAAGGCTTATCCTGGCTCTGCACTCAGGGATTGCTCCTGGTGGCGCTCGGGGGAACTTATAGGTGCTGGGGATCATACCCATGTCAGCCACATGCAAAGCAAATGCGCCACCCACTGGTACTTTCTCTCTAGCTCCACTGATGATTTTTTATGTATTTATTTTTTAAAAACAATTTCATTTATTTATTTTGATTTTTGGGTCACACCAGGCTATGCACAGGAGTTACTCCTGGCTTTGCACTCAGAAATGACTCCTGGAGGTGCTCAGGGGACCATATGGGATGCTGGGAATCGAACCCAGGTAGGTCATGTGCAAGGCAAACGCCTTACCTGCTGTACTCAGAAACTACTCCTGGAGGTGCTCGGGGGACCATATGGGATGCTGGGAATCGAATCCGGGTCGGCCACGTGCAAGGCAAACGCCCTACCCGCTGTACTGCTCCAGCCCCTCCACTGATGATTTTTTTTAAAAGCGTTTTTATTTTTTATATTTTGCTTTTGGGATCACACCTGGCGATGCTCAGGGGTTACTCCTGGCTCTGCACTCAGGCATTGCCCCTGGGGTGCTTGGGGGACCATATAGTATGCTGAAGATTGAACTTGGATTGGTTGTGTGCAAGCAAACGCCCTACCCACTGTACTATCTCGCAGGCCCCTCACTCGTGGTACCCTCCCCCCCTTAATATAATTTCAGCCAGAAAAAGGGCTCAACGGTGAAATATTTGCCTTGTGTGTTAGGGACTTAACTTAAAAAATAAAACAAAAAACCTAATCAAGATGTTCAATTCCTCTACCCCTCTCGGAGAGCCCGGCGAGCTACTGAGAGTATCTCGCCCGCACGGCAAAGCCTGGCAAGCTACCCATGATGTGTTAAATATACCAAATACAGTAACAACAAGTCTCACAATGGAGACGTTACTGGGCTTGCTCAAGCAAATCAATGAACATCGGGAGGACAGTGCTAACATATATATTTGCCACCAGTGCTGTTCAGGAGTTACTCCTGGCTCAACACTGAGGAATCACACCTGGTGGTGGCTCAGAGGGCTATAATGGGGTGCCAGAGATCAAGCCTCGGTTGGCTGCAGGTAAGATATGCACCCTACCTACTATACTATTGCTCTAGTCCCAGTTTTCCTGCTTTGGACACTTCTTTTTTTTTAATTGAGTCACCATGAGATACACAGATACAAAGCTGTTCATGATCAGGTTTCAGTCATACTATGTTCCAACACCCACTCCTCCAACCTGTGCACATTTCCCACCACCAGGGATCTCAGTTTCACTTCACCACCACCCACACCTAGCCTGTGTCTATGGCACTTTTCTTCTCTCTCCTCTTTTTGGACAGACTTTTACATAATCCCATTACTGTGAGCCACACTGCAAGGATATTATTCATATTTACCAATACGGAAGGAGAACTTCAAGGAGGTGACAACATAGGTATTATATTTATTTACTTATTCTCTTCTGGAGCGATAGCACAGCGGTAGGGCGTTCGCCTTACAAGCAGCCAACATGGCCGACCCGAGTTCGATTCCTCCGCCCCTCTCGGAGAGCCCGGCAAGCTACCGAGAGTATTCGATATGCCAGACACAGTAACAACAAAGTCTCCAATGGAGACGTTACTGGGCCCGCTCGAGCAAATCGACGATCAACGGGAGGGCCTTTACCTTTTTAATTGATGAAGGGCTGGAGCGATAGCACAGCGGTAGGGCGTTCGCCTTACAAGCGGCCAACATGGCCGACCTGAGTTCGATTCCTCCGCCCCTTTCGGAGAGCCCGGCAAGCTACCGAGAGTATCTCGCCCTCATGGCAGAGCCTGGCAAGCTCCCCGTGACGTAATCGATATACCAGACACAGTAACAACAAAGTCTCCAATGGAGACGTTACTGGGCCCGCTCGAGCAAATCGACGATCAACGGGAGGGCCTTTGCTTACTTACTTACTTATTCTCTTCTCACCTCTAAAATTCTCATGTATTTTCCTTGCTACTATATTTTCAGATTAGTTTCCAGTTTGGTAATTGCAAATCTGGTTCTGCTCAAAAAACTTTACTCTCTTATTTATTTTTGGTCATACATGGCTGTGCTCAGGGATCACTCCTGGCGATGTTTGGAGGATCATATGCTATGCTGAAGGTCAAACCCAGGCAAGCCGTGTCCAAGGCAAGCACTTTAACCCTGTACATTTAGGTTGCATGTGTGTGTAGCTGTGGGAGGGATTTGGGTCATATCTGGCACTGCTTAGGGCTCACTCCTGACTGTGCTCAGAGACCATATGTGGGGCCAGGATATTGTTTTCTTCCCTGTTTCCACCAGGGTGCTTGATCTTTGGGGTGTTTACAAAGTTGTTAGCTTTCTATTTGAGCTTCAACATTTAAACCTCTAACAGCAAAGTCCATGTCCCCAAGTGCCCCTGGGGGCCACAGAGTCCCAGGCTTAGCCCTTGTCAGTCTCAGCAACTCTGCTCAGCCTCTTGCAGACACCCCTTAGGTTCTGTTTGTTTGGGGGCCACGTCCTGCACACTCAAGGCTTACTCCTGGCTCTGTGCTCAGGAATCATCCCTGCGAGGCTCAGGAGACCATATGGGGTGCTGAAAATCTGAACCAGGGTCAGCTGTGTGCAAGGTAAGGGCTTAACCCACTGGACCATCTCTCTGCACCCCCTCAGGGTTTTGTGAGCTCCGTTTGCCTTGCACGCAGCCAACATGGGTGACCCGAGTTCGATTCCTCCGCCCCTCTCGGAGAGGCCGGCAAGCTACCGAGAGTATCTCGCCCGCACGGCAAAGCCTGGCAAGTTCCCCGTGGCGTATTCGATATGCCAAACACAGTAACAACAAGTCTCACGATGGAGACGTTATTGGGCCCGCTTGAGCAAATTGATGAACAACGGAAGGACCATGACCATGACATGACCATGACCATGATCCTGCCTACAAAAGGACATGGAATATATATATATATATATATATATATATATATATATATATATAGTAAAGTAAAGTAAAGGCCCTCCCGTTGTTCATCGATTTGCTCGAGCGGGCCCAGTAACGTCTCCATTGGAGATTTATATATATATATTTAGTCTTTCAGGGCTATGGATGGGGAGATTTTAGGTTTATTTAGTTTACTGAATGGCTAGAAACAGAATAGACTGCATTTTAGAATTACAATTACATAGGAAAATATCAGCAGTGAGCCTCGGAAAGGACAGGCCAAATGTTTGAGGAGTGGGATTAGAGATGAAGCCTTTCTTTTTGGAAAAAAAAAAAAGACTTTTTAAAAAATGTGGTTAATGCAACAGAATAGGGGCGGAGGATAAAGGGCTGACTCAAATAAATAAAACTCTTAAGTTGAGTTTTTAAAACACGGGATCAGCTGCACAGATTTGGTCAGGGTAAAATGTTTATTAAACCAAGCTTTTAAATGATATCCATCTACAGTCTGTACACAAATATAGTACACATACAAGAACAAGGCTCTTTGACTCAAACAAGTGGGGAAAGTAGAGGTCATTGGGAAGTGTGATGCCTCACCCCTCCTGGGCCAGTGCCAGAGGCCAGTTCCAGCTGAGAGTTAAATGAAAATCCACAGATGTGGGGAGAAAAAAGAAAAAAAGATAAAGAAAACCCAGAAGGATTCAAGTCCCACCCCCCCGCCCCCCAACTAAGAGAGACTTCAAAAACAGATTATTTGTACCAAATTATACTAATGGATTATACCAAGGCATCAGTGTAAGGTTTATATTCACAGGCTGGCTAAAAGAGTACAAAGTAAGCAATTCTTCTAGATGTCCCTCTCCCAGTTACCATGATAAGAAAAATGAATTTAAATAGATGAACCACAGGAAGTTATAAAAACAGGTAACTCTAAGAGTAATAAATACCTATCACCAGCAGAGTACACACTTAGGAAATTCGCCTCCTTCCGTAGTGTGCAGAAAATTTTAAGTCGGTCTAAGAGGTACAATCAGATTTCTTGAAAAGAAAAAAGACGTAACTACAAAACCCAGGGTCAGAAGCTGAACGCAGATGAGAATAGACAAGAGACAAAAATCCTGATTCCTTGCATCTAATTCTCCTGCTGAGTAGACACCACAATGAGCTTACGACCCTTAAAATTTCTTAAAAAGTATCACTTTGTTACCTATGTACAAACTTTTTTTAAAAGTTAAAAAAAGTTATTCACTAGACAAATGAAAATGGACTGATCCAGTAGTGGCACTAAAGTCAATGGAACTTGGAGTCTATTTTCTGTGCTTTCATAGTTTTCGTTAGGGGGCTTAGAAGTTCCCCTAAAGTGTTCTGGATAGTTTTAAAAATTCCCACAAAAAGTGATTCTATAATCGTTTCAGGTACAGAACGGGGGTGGGGTGGGGGAGTCCCAAACCCCCAAAACAGAAAAAGAAAAAGGTAAAAATCTTAAAAAGGGACTGAGAAGCAGAGAACGTGTAAGTAACTTTTCTGGTTGTCCCTAACACCGGTTAGCACTTCAAATGGTATCTGCGAGGCTCTCCAGAAACCAACCCCATCAACAACAGCAGATCGTGATTCCTGCGCTTCTCATGCTAATCCTAGAATCAGGAACACTCGTTTGACATAAACGTGCATTTCTCTCAGGCTAGTATCTCTTAGGTGGCATTGCCTGAATCAACATAAAACTTCCCGGCAGACTGAATGCAAATGTCCCCAACAAAGAACCCATTCGAGCTGGCCTAAAGTCACCTCAGCCTAGAACAATTTTCCCTGGGAACTCTGGCAAATTTCCGTGCCAAAAGCAAATCCATGGTTGGAGGGGTATTAGAGCTTGCAGGGTCCCATGAGCATGCCGACTTGCTAACACATTCAACGCCTCTAAGATGTGGCCTTTCCCAAACTCAGCTGGCCTTGTGGGACTCCCATGGCAGATCCTGGGCTCTCGGGCCCCTCCTTTCTATGCAACATGATTTGAGAAATGCACATTTCTCAAAAGTCCCTTTTCTCCAGTAGTGGTTCTCATCTTGTAGTGGGCACCAGGAGGGGATGGGCAGGGTAGACCTGGCACAGTACAGACCCTGCCCCTCTCTGCAGGGCTGGGGTGGAACCCTGGAGCCTGCACTGATGCTGAGGGAAGCAGCCACTGCAGAGCCTGGGGCCACGCTGAGCAGCATCTGCTTGCACGAGGGGACGCCTCGCAGGGGTAGGAAGCCTTCCTGTGGCAGGGGAAGGCCATCCATGCCATTGGCCACCACCCATTAGCTGGAGATCAGGGCATCCCACTGGCACCTAAGAAAGTCCCAGACCTTGGATGGGAAGAAAGGATGGGACTGACCTCCGGATCTGCTTCCTCCCACCCCTATCAGGGGACCAGGTACCATGAGTGCCTCGCTCAGGGCATCGGTGAGGCCTCAGGGAAGCATGGGTATCAAAGTACTCCCTAAGGAAAAGCATCGGACAAGAGTTGAGGAGGAGAAGAATGTGTCTGTCACTGCTGGAAAGACTGGAGTCCACTTTCTCTTCTGCCAATGGATGCACATTCTGGCAGCTACTCAAGGTAAAAGAGACTAAAAATTACAGAAAACAGCAGCAGGAAGAAGATGGGGAAGTAGATTGCCTAGTTACAAACACCCAGTAGTTAAAAAGAAGATCAACTCACGATCCAGGTAGTTAATTAATGATGCTGGCTTTGAGACAGTGTTGAAAAGTTACAGTATGTTGATCTGACACCCCACCAGGTTAGTGCTGGTTACATTTTAACATCTGAAGAAGAGGGGGGTAAAAAGAAAATCCTTCCAACACCTAGGATCTAAAATACCGCGCTGGGCACTGGGATCATTCCAATCTTAGAAGCTATGATCCCAAGTGGGAGAATTTCCAAAATAATTTTTAAAAAGGATTTTTTAATTTTGGTTCAGAGAACATCCGCAGAAGGAGAAATGAACTCAGGCTCGCGCCTTCATATGGGCGTGTCCAGCTGCTGCCCTGGGTGCCTCAGCCAACAAACCACACCTCAGCATCTGAAAATGAAGCTGTACAAATTCATACATTTCCATAATTGGAGTATCGTCAAGCCAACGTCCGGTTGTCAAGTCCTGGTTTCTCCGAAAGGCTGATCAGAAAGGCAGAACTTTCCTTAACCCACAGCGGGAGTCACTTTACAAATGCTCCGGGTGGCTCTGCAGACAGGACAGCATTTCCTTAACGGGCCTGCCTTCATAACAGATCTGGTAGACTGCGGTGAACAAAGGAAACCTAGTTGGGGAGAAGGGAGAAGAAGAATTAAGCCACCTGGGTTTACCTGCTAGCTCTTCCAGCCCACCTAACCGAGAGCAGAAGGTCTCTGTTCTATGCCCTCCTTCTACTTCTTTTCTGATCTGCTGGGTGGTGATGCAATATTGAGACAACCTAACTTATCTATCCCTCCTACCACCTTTGGCTTTCGGGCCACACCCGGCGGTACTCAGGGCTGACTCCTGGCTCTGTACTCTGTCCTGTGGGACCATTTAGGATGCCAGGTGGGAATTGAACCTGGTGAGCTGCATGCAAGGCAAACACCTCTCTATCACCGTACTACAAATGCTTACTATTGCTATGGCCGCCAAACCCATCTTTTGCTTGGTTGGCGTACAAACAAATCTCATAGCACTCTTTTGAAGGAAATCTTGATGGTACGGTGCTTGGTCAAGCTGTTCTAGTTTGTCATAATTTATAAGATGGGCGAATTGGAGAGATGGTACAGAAGGTAATGTGCTTACTCAAATATGTTCAACCCGTTTCATTCCTAGCATCCCATATGACCTGAGAAACCCCTGGACCCAGGCCCCAGGCATTACTCCTGAACAGAACCAGGAACAGCCCCTGAGCCCTATCAGATATAGTTCTCCCCACCCCACCCCCCAAAAAAGACTGGAAAATAAATCAGAACTGAAACATGTCTGTAAGAAATAATGTGTACCCCCTCCCCCAACACACACACACACCAAATAGCCAAACACTGATCCCAAATCAGAAATTTGTTTTAGTCTACCCTTTTGTCCCCTATGTGAACAAAGATAGAAATGAAAATTTGAATCAGATGAGGTCAAAGGCATCGATCAACCAAGGTACAGGTGACATAAGAAAAGCGAACACTAGTACTTTTTTTTTGGGGGGGTGCTTTTTGGGTCACACCTGGCGATGCACAGGGGTTACTCCTGGCTCTGCACTCAGGAGTTACCCCTGGCGGTGTTCAGGGGACCATATGGGATGCTGGGAATCGAACCCGGGTTGGCCACGTGCAAGGCAAATGCCCTACCCACTGTGCTACTGCTCCAGCCCCTTAATTTTTTTTTTAATGGCAGAAAACACTTAGGAAATCTGTTCATTTCAATCAGTCATTATTTATTTATTTATTTGAAAGAGGGGGGCTCTAGGTGGTCACAGGTATCAGAACCAGGCCCCTCAAGCAATCTTTCAAAATAGGCAGAGTCCAGTGACCATGTATACACATGGCCTAAAAAGTAAGCCTTTGAGAATTCCGTCTTAAAGGCTATTCTGAGCATGAATAAATTAGGATTCTATAAAAACAGCCTGAAGAGATAGTACAGGCATTCAAGTGATTGCTTTGCACACAGCTGAACTCGGTTTGATCCCCGGCGCCATATCCCGACCCCCAGCAACACCAGGAGTGATCTCTGAGCTCAGAGCCAGGAGTCAGCCCAGAGCACAGACTGGTGACTGTCAGATTGTGGGGATACAAGTACGTCAGAGGCACAGGGCTGTCTGTTCTGACCTTCCCGGGCTGGGACATCCACCCCCCCCCTTCAGAATCTGGTTTGCCCTCGTCTCCGCCCAGCTGGTTGGAAAGCCATTTCAGAGAAAATGCCAATGGCACAACAGCGACAAGTGCCCTGTCTGCTCATTCCCAGTGCTCAGGGGGTGCTCTATGCTGACAGATGCCCGGGGAGGGCAGGAGGGTGGGGTAAGGCTGCAGGGAGCACAGGCCAGCAGTGCACAGCACCCCAGGATACCCCATGGCCCCAATGGTGCTCAACACTGCTGGGGTTCCACTGCCTGGGGCAGGGGGTCCTGTGCCCCCTGAGCACTTCTTGGAAGACTCTTCCCAACACCCACCCCCCAAATGCCTGGTTGGTAGAAGAAAACATCCTACTGGTCCCAAGAGGGCATAGGGGGCAGCTGGTGATGTCATTCATAACCCGTAAGCCAGCCCTGCCTGGAGGGATGTGACACTGAAGATCAAGTCCCAGTGGCATCAAAACAGCTGCCCCGTCTGCACCCCACCAAGTCATATTCCCAAGGGCCAGGGGTGGGGAGCAGACACTGATTTAGATGCAAATCAGCTAAAGACAGGCCTGGGGGATGGGCAGGGCCAGGATTAGCACTGCAAGAGAAAGTGGGGTTCAGGGCTCCTTCCCTCCCTCAGAGGTGAATCAGGCTGGTCCAAGCCCCCCTTCCCACCTTTCTTTCAGGAGCACTGGAAGGGAGGCTGCTCACCCTCTCTCACCTGGCTCACCCCCACTCCCAGCAAGGTTGGGCTGTGACGCCCTCCTTCCCTGAACGTGCTCCTTGTGATAAGACTGGGGTTCTGTCCCCAGCAGTGCAAACAAGAAGAAACAAATCATGACTCAGGTTCTGCATTGCCGGGAGGGACCCACAGCCCCTAAACACCACGGGATGTGGCTCCTATTCAAAGACTCTTTAGAGCCAGGGAATGGGGCTTGGGGAACTGCAGCTTCGGGTTCAGTCCCTGGCCATCCCTGGTCTCCCTAGTACTAGACGTAGTGGCCCCAGAGCACTACTGGGGTGTAACGCCTGGACACGAGCATTCAACTCTCCCCAACACCTGCCAGGACACTGCCACGTGGTTGACTTCCTATTTTGTGAAATAGCTTATAGAACTGGCTAGAGTGATAGCACAGCTGGCAGGGCGTTTGCCTTGCACACGGCCAACCTGGCCAACCCAGGTTCGATTCCTCCATCCCTCTCGGAGGGCCCAGCAAACTATCACCTGCATGGCAAAGCCTGCTGGCAAGCTCCCCATGACGTATTCGATATGCCAAACACAGTAACAACAAGTCTCACAATGGAGATGTTACTGGGCCCGCTCGAGCAAATCGATGAACAACGGGAGGACAGTGCTCCAGTGCTCCAATGTTTATAGAACTCTGGGTCCCGGAGCTTGAGCCTGGTCGGGCATTCTGTAGGAACATTCGTGTTTGGGATGGGGGTTGAGGCTCATTGCCAGAAACGCTGCTATCTCCCAGTGCTAACTCAGCAAAGTTCCAACACGCATGCCCTCGCCACGTAGGGACACCACACTCTGGAAAAGAGGGAAGAGGACTTTCTTCCCGGGGCTCCAGGGAAGGACTTACTTGTCCACTAGCCCCTTCTGTTTGAGGATGCGGTACACTTCGGCCGAAGTCTGGGGACCCTGCAGCTTCTGCCCGTTCAGCATCTCTTTCTCCAGCTCTTCGATGGTCTTGGAAGCAAAGAACGAAAAACATGCATGGTAAAGTCGAGACCCAGGGGCTCAGAGCTGGCTCAGGCGGGACGGGGTGGTGCCTGCTTTGCTGGCACAAGGCCACGAGTGCCATTCCCACAGCCCACACACCCTGTGCGTGAAACCCAGCACCGCAGTAAATTGGGTGTGTCCCCTGGCATGGCACAACCAAAGGTGCAACTCCTGATGAGCATGGCAACGAAAGGTGAGCAAACATTGCAAGCAGGTCCGGGTTCTCACGCCACCGCAAGAGAACAGGGAAGGAAGGACAGGGAAGTCTTTAGAATTAAAGAAGGAAGACTACGAGAATCATTCTTTCTAGAGGGGAGGAAAAAAGGGGGCCACGACCCCCTCCCCTCCCCCACACCCACCCCCGCCCCCGCCCGCAGCAAGTCCAGGAAAGGCAAAGGTGGGTGCATTTAAGGGCAGGTGCCCGAGGAAGCAGCACCAGCCCAGCAAACATCTACTCATGCCCAGCTCCCCCCCTGCTGGGTATCCCCTAGCCCAGGGCGTGTGCAAGGACGGCAGGTTGAGGGCAGGGTCTTCACCTTTCCGGTCTTTGCAAAGGCCTCGGCCACCCTGCGGTTGCGGCCTCCGTAGCAGGTGGTGATGAGGTCGGCCACACCACAGCTCTCCAGGAAGGTGGCCGTGGACACCTGGCCCTTGCAGAAGATCCTGGCGAAGGCGATCATCTCCATGAGCCCCAGGCGGATGACGGCCGCCTTGGTGTTGTCGCCGCAGCCCAGGCCGTCGCTGAAGCCGGCTCCCACCGCCACGATGTTCTGGAAGGAAAGGAGGGGGGGCTGAAGCTCAGGGTGTGTTCGCGCGCGCGCATGCATGTGTCTGTGTCTGTGTCTGTGTGTGTGTGTGTGTGTGTGTGTGTGTGTGTGTAGAAGTGAGGCATCCCCTCACACCTAGCCCTGGGCTCGGATCTGGGTCTTGGTCTGACAGAGGAAAAGTCTCTCCCTATCCCATTTCAGGGACCCTCGGGTCAGGCTGGGCTGGCAAAAGATGCAGACAGGAGCATCAGCCAGGGAGTTAGAATGGCCAGCAGCCGTCTCAGATTAAATGCTGGACACACTGACCTTCTGTTTGGGTTTTGGATGCCTGCTGCCCCCTTTAGTTAGTTAATTAATTATTAGGCCACACCTAGGCAGTCTCAAGGGCCATGTCTGGGTTCTGTGCTGGTGATGCCCAGCGGACCATGCCCCATGCTGGGATCTGAACCGGTGTCGTGGCATGACTGTGTGTACGGCAAGTGCTTTCACACTTCTGCACTGTCCCCAGCAGCCAACCAGGAATGGCAGGGTTGAGCCCGGAGCTCTGAGCCGTGTTTCAGGTCACGGCACTCGGGGGAAAGGTGAATGAGAGGGCCTGTGATTGGGGATCTCCTGGCTCTCTGCCTCTTCAGTCACGACCACCTCCTGAGTTCCCCCTCAACTGAGAACCTCTTGGATTCCACTAGGTGACATGAGAGGGGAACTACAGGGTTAGCTTCCTTTCCTGTGTACCCTGGCCCCGGCCCAGCCTAGTCACCCTGTCATGGCTCTGGAAATCCTCACTCTGCCTTCCCCGTCACTTATCACTGTCAAATGGAGAATGAATGCACACTGGGGCAACTCAGAATGTGTCCGAATAGCAGATGTTCTCAGAGACCGCCCAGCTGTGCGAGTTAGCATTAGCCACAGTGTATTTAAATCGGCTGTGAATGATTCTGGAGCTAAAACTGGGTGTGATGCTTGGAAGCGAGCCATCCCACCCCATTTCCCAGTAAAGGCAGTGCTTGAGGCCCATGTGCCATCTCTACCATTCCAAATGGGGCACACTGGACCCCACTGGATTCCCCCACCTCTCCTCTCCCACATAGAGAGCAGATGGACAGAGAGACTTCAAAGTCAAAAAAACCCTCATAGGGAGCCAGAGCAATAGTACAGCGGGTGGGGCGTTTGTCTTGCATGTGGCCAACCTAAGTTCGATCCCTGATATCCCATATGGTCTCCCAAGCATGGCAAGGAGTAATTCCTGAGTGCAGAGCCAGGAGTAACGCCTGAGCATCACTGAGTGTGCCCCCAAAAGCAAAAATAAACAAATAAATAAAAACACCCTCATATTGGCATACCCAATATGCCAAATGCCAGTAACAATGATGGGCCTCATTCTCCTAACCCTGCAAGAGCCTTGAATATGGCACTTTTTAAAATCTCAGGGCTAGGACGAAGGAGACGTTACTGGGGCCTGCTCGAGGCAATCGATGAACAACAGGATGATTGTGATTGTGATATGTTTATGTGCACACAAAAACAAAAGGTAGTAATTTGTAAAAAGTTGCTAGTAAGGAGGACATGGCTGAAAACTGTTTATGTTAAAGAATGAAATAGGTCAAACACTGACAGAAGAAAGTGGACACTGGTAGTGGGTGTGGTGTTGGAAAGACGTATACATAAAAAGTATATTACTGTCACTGTCCTCCAGTTGTTCATCGATTTGCTCGAGCGGGCCCAGGAACGTCCCCATTGTGAGACTTGTTACTGTTTTTGGCATAAAAAGTATATAATGAGCAATATTGTAAATCATGAAATACTATGCAGCCTTTAGGAAAAATGAAGTCATGAAATGTGCCTATCAATGAATGGACATGGAGAGTATCATGCTGAGTGAAATGAGTCAGAAGAAGAGGGACAAATATAGAATGACTGCATTCATCTGTGGTACATAAAAATATATATAGTAGAAGACTAATATCCAAGGCCAGGGAAAACAAGAGCTAGGAGGACTGGTCAATGGTTGGAATCAACCACAAGTGTGTGTGTGTGGGGGGGAGGATAGGTAAGATAGAGAAGGGGGCAGTATGACAATAATAGCTGGAAATGATCACGTTGGACAAGTAAAAAGTAGGTAAGGGGATATTCCTGATAAACTTTCAATACCTGTATTGAAAATGCCCAAAAGGAGAGGGAGGGAGAGAGGGAAGGAAAGGGGGGTGAGAGAGAGAGAGAGAGAAAGAGAGAGAGGAGAGAGAGAGAGGAAGAGAGAGAGGAAGAGAGAGAGATAGAGAAAAGAGCTTTCCATAGGCAGGTTTTTGGGGGAGTTGATGGGAGGAATGTTGGGGATATTGGTGCTGGGAAATGTACACTGTTGGACCACTGTATAACTAAAACCTAGTCATGAACAGCTTCGTATGGGTCTAACTCAGTGATTCAATTTAAAAAATCTTAAAAACAAAAACAAAACAATATTGTAAATTGGGGCTGGAGTGATAATACAGTGGGTAGGGTGTTTGCCTTGCACAGAGCCAATCTAGGTTCGATCCCCAGCATCCCATATGGAGCCCCTAGTATGTTTTGGTTTGGAGGCCTCATCCAGTGGTGGTCAGGGCGAACTCCTGATTCTGCACTCAGGGATCACTCCTGGTAGGATTCGAGGGCCCCTATGTGGCGTTGGGGATCAAACCAAATTCAGCTGCATGCTAGGTAAGTACCTGAATCCCCTGGCTATCTCTGTAGCCCCAGCCCCAGTTATTATTTTATTTTTTGGTGTCACACTCAGAGGTGCCCAGGGTTTATACTCCTGGTTCTGTTCTTAGGGATCACTCCAAGCAGGCTTGGAGGACTATATGTGGTGCTAAGAATTGAACTGGGGTCAAACATGTGCAAGTGAAAATAGAGACCAGAGACCTGGTAATCCCTGTACTATCTTTCTGGTCTCTATTTTCAGAAGAGAAATAAAAATATGTTCATTGCTAGAAAGAGGAGAGGACTGGGGAGACGGCTCAAAGGACTAGAGCATATGCGTGTATGTGGGAACTCTTGGTTGCATCCAAACACTGCATGGTGTGGTCCAAAATCAAAATAACTAAAAAATAAAAAGGTGAGAAGGGCAAATAATATTGGATGTGGAGAGATTACCACGGACCTTCACTTTAATCCTTCTCCTTCTCTGGAATGTGTAGCCTCTCACTGTCAGGAAGAACCAAAGTGATTCCGCAAGGAGAGAAACCCATGGACATTAGGCCTTGGTCTGGCACCCTCTTAGCAGATTCCACCCACACTGCTCCCTGGCACCCAAACCTGGCACCCAAACCAGAATTCTAAGTCGGTCTGCCCAGAGGAATCCAGGAACTGTGCTCCAAGTGTCTGAAGCTCGGGTCCACTCTGCCTGTGCAATACAACTTCATTTAAGTCCTTTCCTCTTTCTGTACAATGGGTGATTAGACTCCAGGAACGTCAAAGTGACTCGAATCTCCATTTGCAAAATCACCTCTCTTATACAAGCTGACAAGAATAATGGCAACAGATCCGGTTGCAAAGAATAGCCAAGGGAAGGTTGATGAGTGGCTCTCCTCCCCCACGACACCATTTCCTGGGGGTGGAAGCAGGCACAGACCCACTCACCGACTTCCTGCCAAGAGAAATGAAAAGCTGTGCTAAGGTTCGCCACGACCGGCCTGGGCTCTCATTAGTAGGCGCCTTTCCGGAGCCTGCCTCGGAGAACCTTTCTTCTCCTGCGCACCCTTCGTCCTGGGCAGGATCTCTGTCGCTCCCCCGACCGCCCTGGCTCATTCAGTCACTTAAAAACAGCTTTGGAAAGGCACAGACCAGTGCTGGGCAATTAGGCATTCATGGTACCCCTGCTGTCAAGTGGTCATTAGTTTAATGAAGGACTATTAAAAAGACATAAAAATCCCAAGCAACAAAAATAAACAAGCTAGGAAACCAGCGTCTTGAATGTATAACAGGACCTGCACGTGACCAGCAGCAAGACCCACACAGGCTTAGGGAAATAAGCACACGGTTGTCTGTGAGCCTGTAGTTGACTCTTTTTTTTTTAAATGCATATCATACTGGACACGTGACCACACAGTCACATGTTATGATCGTTCCAGAAAGTAATGTTCAGTTCTCACTTAAAGAATGAATGAAGTGGGGGTGTGGGTGGAGATAGTACAGTGGGTAAGGCCTTGCATGCCTTGCATGCAGCAGACCCGGGTGCGATACCCAGCCAGCACTACAAATGGTTCCCCAAGCCCATTATGAACCCTGAGCACAGAGTCAGGAGTAAGTTCTAAGCACTTCTGGGCGTGGTCCACTCCCCCCAACCCTCCACACGCACTCCAGGAAAGAATTGAAAAAAGAATTGCACAATTTATAGAAAGTGTAGCAGGTGCTTTTTTAATCTTTGTTAAGTCTTACCCTGACCAAGCACAACAAAGGTCAAAATGCCAAATTCCTTTCCTTGGGCACTCAGATTCCTGAGAGGCAGCTTATTCGAGGAAGGGGATGGCTCAGGACTTCAAGGGGGTGTCCTCTTTAGAGTACTGGCTTGCTCCCCTATTTTGGAGGGGTGAGGGGTGCTAAACAGCTCTGGTTCCCAGAGAAGAAGTGGCAGAGATGGACAAGCAGATCAGCAAATGTGCAAATTCCCTTTTTCCCTCTCAAGTCCCTGGATGTTGTCTCCTTTATCCAATTTTTTCCATTCACTGACAAAGGTGAAATTATTCTTTTTTTTTTTATTTTCTTTTTGGGTCATACCCGGAGATGCTCAGGGTTTACTCCTGGCTCTGCACTCAGGAATTACTCCTGGCGGTGCCTGGGGGAACATATGGGATGCCGGGGATCAAACCAAGTCGGCTGTGCACAAGGCAAACAAATGTCCCACTGCAGTGCCGTAAACGTCCCATCCTGCCTTAGGTGAAATTATTCTTAGAAATGCCTCTGCCAGTAGTCAACTATTTTACCTCTAAAAAAGAACAAAACCGAGGAAAAAAAAAAAAACCACTGACCCACCAGAGTAGCCTGTAATGGAGAGACCAAGTTCCTAGTTCCACTCCAGATAAGTGGGAGAAATATTAAGAATTAATAAAGCTACTCTGCTACTCTGCTCCCCAGTGAAACTCTATGATCATGCTGTTCTCTATGCATTCCAAATATTAAGGCTGCCAATTTCCCAAAGAACAACATGCCCAGAGAACAACATGCCACAATTCTCCCAAATTTACAAATCAAAGCAAGCCCTGAGCGAGAGAGAACTCGAACCACCCAGGAAAGTCTAGCGCAAAACAGGAAGTGACAGACAAGGCTCCCAATTCACCATTCTTTGCTGCACTGAGCCCGGAGAACACAGGGGCTATTCTTCCGGTGAGACTCAATGATGTGTGCCGGGGGACTCCTCAGGGAGCAAAAATAACAAGGCTGACTTTACCTTGAGAGCACCGCAGAGTTCAACGGTGTCAGCATCATCGACCACGGTGATTCGAAAATTCGGAGTCTGCAGAAGTTCCTTGAAGAGTAGGCCATTCGCCATTACTTTGCTGCCTATTGAAAAGTGAGCAAAAAGGAAATTTTTGTTTGTTTTTTTTTTCAGCTTTTTGGGTCACGCCTGGCAATGCACAGGGGTTACTCCTTCCACACTCAGGAATTACTCCTGGCGGTGCTCGGGGGACCATATGGGATGCTGGGAATCAAACCAGCACAGCCGTGTGCAAGGCAAATGCCCCACCTGCTGTGCTATCGCTCCAGCCCCCAAAAGGAAATAATTAAAAAAAAGAATCAACAATACTAAAATCATGAGGCCCCAACTTACAAAGGTGCTGTTAAAGAAGGCAGGCTGGGGTTGGGGGGTGAGGACAGGAAACAAAACACTAGCGGAGAGTTGACACTAGGAGCGAGATAGGTGATGGAATACTGCCTAAAACCCAATTATGAATAGCTTTGTAAATCACTGTGCTTTAATAAAATGCAATTTAAAAAACACTGTACACCTGAAAGTCAACTATAAATAACTATGTAAATTCCAGTGCCTGAATATGTATGAACTTTTTCTTAATGCAAAAAAAATAATAGTTTGTTCTTGGACCACACCCTGTCATACTCCTGGCTTTGTGCTCAGGGGACCATATGGGATGCCAGGGACTGAACCCAGGTTGGCCATGTGCAATGTGGGTCATGCCCTGGCTAACGTACTATCACTCTGGCCCCCTTGAAATAAGAGTTTTATTAAAAAAAAAAAAAAAAAACTTCTCATCTGAATTTTTACACCCAAGAGCAGTTCAGAATAACTTTTATCATAAAAAGTAATATACTTGGTAGAGAAAACTTAAAAATTAATAGGAAGAGGCATAGCAAATAGAAAAAGATTTTATATCCTACCAATGATCCATAATACCAATGACTACAAGGATCCAAATGTTGAACAACAATTTAGCTTGCCTCTTTCACTTACTCAAATATGAATCTACATAGCTTTTCCCAAAATAAATGGGAATAGGATGGATACGTGGTTTTATAATCTGCTCTCTTCCACATTATGATGTGAATAATTTTCTGTGACAGCTGTTCTTTCTTTTCTTTTTTTTTTTCCAGTTTTTGGGAAACAACCAGTAGTGCTAGGGAGCTATTCCCAGCTCTGTTCAGGATTCAGGAGTGAGATGCTGGGGATTGAACAAGGATTGGTTGCATGCAGGCAATTGCCTTAACCCCTGTACTATCTCTCCGTTTCCTACATGACATCTCTGCAACGTCATTTTAAATGCTTGCTCAGGGGTCAGAGTTACAGTATAGGAGGTAAGGCGCTTGCTTGCCTTTGCATGTGGCTTCCATAGTCAAAACCTGGTTTGATTCCTGAGCACTGCTGGGGGTCACTGCTAAACAAAGAGCCAGGAATACTCCCAGAGCACCACAGGATGTGCATCCAAAATAAACAAAACAGAAAAACAGACCCCCCCCCCCAAAGCCTCTTCGATACACACATCATGCTCTGAGTAGGGCACTAGTGTTGGATCTGTTGTATTTTTGCAAAGTTTATAGCCTGACTTCTATGTTTACAACTGTGAAAGTTTGCTCAACGGCACTGACTCGATCATTTCCTGGGGAAGAGAATAAGCTTTCCCCTGCCCGCACATCTCCACCATTAACTATGAATTCATCCACACACTAACAGACACAACGTGGCATGAGTTGGAAGGCTGTTTGTGCAGCGGTGGGTGGGCTCCTGTGCCCTCCCCTTTTCTGTGAGACCAGGTCCCTGCCTGGAGGAGGGGCCAGAGGTCAGAGGGCAGAGTCACTGGCCCCAAAGCCCAGCCAAGACTAGCCGACCCTTAGCCATGTGCTTATTTTGTCTGCCACCAAGATGCTGGGATCGTCTGTCACTCAGGATCACCGTGGTCCCAGAGCCCTGATCCACATCCACATGGATTCCCATTGCCTAAACCATGGAAGTGCGTTCCGAGAACATTTTACTAGAAACCCACTTTCTCTTCTCCAGGAATCACCCTCATCTATCAGGAAGCCAAGTTCTCCTCTTTCCAGATTCATGTCAACGGGAGCTAATGGCCTCAAAGAGTCCATCATCCCAAGTGGCTGAGTCTACACAGTGCTGTTCCTTTGTGCGGGTTGAACAAACAACCCCTGTCCCCGTAACTGCATCATTGTATTTCCCCCCTGTTCCTCACCATGGGTCACTCACTGCTCAAAGGTCTCTAAGGTAAGGGATTCTCAGGTCTACCTGGGCCCTTTCCTCAAGGGCTTTATCATCTGGCTGATGGGAGCCAGAAACCTGATCACTGACCAGGGCCCAAGAGGATCGCTGACCAGGCCTTCTGATTTGCTGCTGAGATAAGACTGAATCTTCCAGTTCCTCCGTGGCTACAAATACGTGTCCACTTAGAGAGGTGGGTTGGATTTAAAACAATCTCCTGGGGCTGGAGCGAAAGCACAGCAGGCAGGACATTTGCCTTGCATGCAGCTGATCCAGGTTCGATTCCCAGCATCCCATATGGTCCCCTGAGCACCACCAGGGGTAATTCCTGAGTGCAGAGCCAGGAGTAACCCCTGAGCATCGCCGGGTGTGACCCAAAAAAGAAAAAAAATCTCCTATTTCCCCAACGTTCCCTTAAAAAAAAAATTGGAATCCCAAGAATTCATCTGGCATATTATAATAGCCACAAGCAGTGGTGTGGGAAGCTGGAACCCATAGCACCTGGTACAAAACAGGTCATGCCCAAGGGCCCTCAAACTCCTACAGAAGCAGAATCAGGATACTCTTCTTTCCTCACACCCAGCTTTAGAGGCAATCTTCTGAATGAGACTCCTTGAACCCCATGTGTATCTGAGCCTAGACATTCCACATGGAGCTTCTGATCACTAATGCTTAACGTGCCTGATACACACTAGGTTTGGGTTTTTTTTTTTTTTTTTTGGTTGTGTCACATCTGGCGATGCAGAGTTACTCCTGGTTCATGCACTCAGGAATTATTCCTGGCAGTGCTTGGGGGACCATGTGGGATGCCGGGAATCAAACCTGGGTCAGCCAAATGCAGGCAAACACCCTACTTGTTGTGCTATTGCTCCACCCCCCCCCCCTTTTTTGTGATACACACTAGGTTTTGAAAAATCTTGTGGGACGACTGATTCAGTGAAGTTGGGGGGGCCACTCAAAAAAGGGAGCTTTTGCCACTAGAGGTCACCAGAGCTCACTGTGCCCGCACATCCTAGTAGGACAAACTGAAAGCAATGTCTGTTTCTGCTTCTCCAAGATAAGGGAGTGCTAAGATTCCTGAGTCCAACGTGATTAAAAAATGAGTTGGCAGTGGATGTCATCGGGAACAGAAATCTAGGAGACACAGTGCAGTGATCAAATGTGGGAGATTTAGCATTGGTAGGGAACAAGCAATCCATATGCAAACCTCTATCATACAGGGCAGTCCTTCGTGCCACCATGGCCCGCCCCCGCCCAGGACCCCAAGCTGAGTGCTCATGTCTACAGTCCCCTTTACTCAGGTGCGCAAAGCTGACTGTAGCCAAAGACTCGATCGCTTTAGCCTTTCATCATCTCCCACGATACTGACACTGCTCAGAAGGACAGGCCTATGTTTTCACACCTACTCCTTACTCTTGGCTTGTCCGGTATTTCCTCATGACTGAAATCAGGTTATATAAGACAACTCAGAAACAATGACCTAACAGTTCTTGAACTATTTTGCTTAGATCAGGTTGCTCCTACCAAGCACAGTTCCGCCAACAGATGAGGAGTTGGAAGCATGAGGTAAATAGAAGGCGTGGAGAAGAGGCATGACTTACATGCATTTGCCTTTTTACAAAGATTAACGGGCCCACAGTTACTGGGAAACTGTCCTGTGAGCAACAGGACTGGAGGCAGGCTAAAAACAACAGCAAAAAAAAAAAATTCTAGACAAAGTCCCTGGGTACTACAACAAAGTTAATATGAGTTTTTTGTTTGTTTCTTTCTTTGCATTTTGATGCCACACCCAGCGGTGCTCAGGGCCTACTTCTGGCTGTGTTTAGGGGTCACTCCTGGTAGTTCTTGGGGAAAGGGCACATACGCAGTGCCAGGGATTGAACCACGGTCGGCCAATACAAGGGAAACATTTTAACCTCAGTAGTATCTCTCTGGGCTGGAGAGATAGCACAGCAGGTAGGGCGTTTGTCTTGCACGTGGCCGACCCGGGTTCGATTCCTCCATCCCTCTTGGAGAGCCCAGCAAGATACCAAGAGTATCCTGCCTGCACGGCAGAGCCTGGCAAGCTCCCCGTGGCGTATTTGATATGCCAAAAACAATAACAACAAGTCTCACAATGAAGACGTTACTGGTGCCCGCTCGAGTAAATCGATGAACAACGGGAGGACAGTGTTACAGTACTATAGTACCTCTCCAGTCCTAGATGCAAAGTTGAAAGGAAGGATTGGAGATGGGAGTTCCATACAGACAGAAAATGTGGCAGCCATTTCATCCAATCTGCAAAGCTGCTAATCTTTTTTGGCAGGGGAGACACACCAGCAGTGCTCAGGGCTAGGTACACAGGCATTTGATAAAAGGAATGAAAACGCTTTTATGAAGGTTTTCCTAGCATCAATGTTGCATGAAAGCTGCAAGAGTTCTCTGGTGGGGGATGTGGGCTCCACATTCATGCCTGGGTTCTGAATTGGAGGCTAAAACTTGGGGCAGGTCACTTATTCTCAGAACCTTGGCTTATTCACCTGAAAATGAGTATCATCCCTATCAAATTTAATTTTTAAAAATATTGTTATGGAGGTCGGGAGTGGTTGGGCCCTACCAGGATGTTTTGGGGGCCATAGTCTGGGGCTGGGGCTTACTCCTGGCTCTGTGCTCAGGGATTACTCCTGGCAGGGCTTCAGGGACCCTAAGCAGTGCTGATACCAGGGATGAACTAGAGTGAACTGCATGCAAGGCAAGTAAACGTCTTAATTCCTTCTCCAACCCCAAGAAAAGTGAAGCTTCGAAGGCCAGCAGAGTGGCCCTTGCAGGTAACCAGCTGCTTCTTGGTTTGTTTGGTTCTTTTGGGCTTTCTGTTTCTAAGGTGTTGCTTGGTTGGTTCTGCTTTTGAAATGCCACTGCATTTTGATGCTCAGGGCTTACTCCTGGCTCTACGCTCAAGGTTCAATCCTGGTGGACTCAGTGCACAAGAAGTGTTTGGGAAAAGGTTACTCCAGATGCTTACGTGTGCCTGAAAATTTGGAACCTTTGCTTTTTTTTCTCCTTTAATTATTATTATTTTGTTTTGTTTTGGGGTGCCATACCCAAGCTGTGTTCAGAGCTTCCTCCTGGCATTGCTCTCTCTCAGGGTTCACTCCTGGCAGGGCTCTGGAGGCCATGTGGGGTGCTGGGGATCAAACCCTGGGTTGGCAGCATACAAGGCAAGACCCCTACCCGCTGTCGTATCGCTCAGGCCCCAACACCTGCTTCCTGCAACCTAGCAACCTTGCCCTTTCCTTGCGAGCCTTCGTTATGCGTTCTGAGTTGACGGTGTGTCATTCAGATTCTCTTGGCTTTAACTTCCAGAGGCTGTTGAAACACCTTAGTCCCACACCGGAGGCCTGTCACCCATGCCCACCTCAAGGCCACCCCCAGAACCCCGCAAGTGCTCACCAATGGTCGTCTCACAGAACTTCTCAGCAGCCACCTCACTGGCAATGTTGGCACCCATCAGCACGCTGATGTCGATGCCCATCTTCTCCCGGATGATGTTGGAGATGAGCTTCAGCCCCTCGGGGCCCTCGTCAATGCCCTGTGACGACATTGGGAGTCAGGGGAAACAAAACAAGTCAAACACTCCCAGAGGCATGCGGGGTGAGGGCTCTTCCGGGGTGACCTGTACGTAGCCAGGCCGCCATGGGCGCAGGTTGCTGGCCATCTTCCAGGGCAGACATGGGCAGGGTGGACAGACTGTCCCAAGAACAGCAGGAGGAGGAAAGTAAATGCGTGGTGGCCCCAGTGCAACAGAGCAGGGGGGTGGGGAGAGGCACAGTACCCTGCGCACATTATTTTGCACGTAGGAGGCCAGAATTTCACCCCTAGTACCAGATGTCCCCAAGCATTGAGCTGGGAGTGCCCCGAAGCCAAAACAAACCAAACCAAACCACCCAACCCAAACAGAAACAGAACGTGACAATGGAAAGTTCTCCCCCTTCTCTCATCCCTCACAACCCGACCCCCCACATCCTGCTGGCAGGATGAACTACTGCGTCCATCCCAGATGCTATGGACCTTACTTCTCTTGATCACTTTGCACATATATCCTGAAATAAAGGTTTATTATGTTTTCATATCCGTGTTTGCTCTTTTTTATTTTATAGGTCACACCTGGCAGTGTTGGGGCGGGGAAGGGCACCAGATAACGCCCAGGATTTCACCTGCCGGGCACACGGTCTGTCACTTGAGTTCTCTCAAGTGGTACACTGCTTGTTTTGGGGTTTGTTTCTATTCACTACAGTGTGGAGACTAGGATGAAAAGGTTCTCATTTATTTGTTCATTCTATGGCTGATTAGCTTCTGAGCTGCCCCACTTTTCTTTTCTTTTTCTTTCTTTGTGTTCTGAGGTCAAACTCAAGTATCGGGACTTACTCCACATTCTGTGCTCAGGAATTGCCGAATCCTACTGGGAATCCCAGTACCATATTATAGGATGTTGGGGATCAAGCCTAGGTCTGCCACATTCAAGGCAAGTGCCTTACCAGCTGTAGATCTCTCTGGCCCCTCTACTTTGATCTAATAAACAGCCTCATAAGAAGACTGAAATAGAGTAAGTCTCTAGGAAACTCTAAACCAAACTCTAAACCCCATCCTATAGGGTTCCCTGAGCACCACCAGAAGCTGTGGGTCCACCCCTAACAGTCTGGTGCATTTTTTTTAATGGACCCACTCTCATAATTTCATATGCAAAAAGTGAATACATAAGATTTTACAGGAGGGGGCTGGAGTGATAGCACAGCAGGAAGGGCGTTTGCCTTGCACGCGGCTGACCCGGGTTTGATTCCCAGCATCCCATATGGTCCCCTATGCTTCTTTAAAAAAAAAAAAGATTTTACAGGAAACCAGTTATAGTGAAATATAGTTGCCAAAATGATTTTTAAAGAAATACTGTCTTAAGAGCCAGAGAGATAGTACATTGGGTAGGGCACTGGCCTTGCATGTGGCTGGCCTTGATTTAATCCCTGGCATCCTCTAGGGTTCCCTGAGCACCACCAGGAGTGATTGCTGAGTACAGAGTCAGGAATAAGTTCTGAGCATTATTGGGTGTGGCCTGCCCCCAAATACTGTTTTATTAATGCAATTAGAAAGAGATATTCTGGTAGGTCTAATAATAGAGTCTCTCTTAATTTCAAAGTCATGATTAAGAACAGATGATATCTGATTATTTTTTTTTCTCCTTTAGTTTTTGTTTTGTTTTGTGTTTTGGCCAAAATCCAGCAATTTTCGGGGCTTACTCCTGACTCTGAGCTCAGGGTTCACTCTAGGCAGGCTCTGAGGACCATGTGGGATGCCAGGGATCAATGCCAGGTCAGTCGTGGGCAAGGCAAGCACCCTACCAGCTATACTATCTCTCTAGCACAGACAAATGATATCTTGAGATAGCTGACACCACTATAAAGTGATAGGAAGTTTATCTGTGTTTTAAATGGACAATAAAGTCACTATAATACTATTGTTATTGATAGTCTGGGGCCCAATTCAGTGAGGCAGAAGAGGAAGAAGAAGCAGACAAGCACTTAAAAAAATAAAAGTTACGCCCCACCCCAATCTACATTCATAAATAAAGAACTGGAGAGACAGTGCAGGGGACTACAGACACAGGTGGAGATGTGGGTCCTGCCAAAAAGGTCCCCCCCAAGCACAGGGCTGTCAGGAGGAAGCATGTTACATCCCTGCTGCTGCCTGCAGAAACAGGGAGCCGCCCCCCACTGCTCCCCATGAGGGAGGCTGGGCTCTGTGATCTGCTGACCTCCCAGACCATCAGACTCTTTGGTTTTGTGGTCACACCTGGAGGTCCATGGGGCTCCCTCCTGGTGGGGCTGGCCAACCATCTGGGGTGCCGGGGACAGAACCCAGCTCGACTACACACAAGAAAGCACCTTACTCACGGGTCCTATGGCTCTGGTCCCTCCCAGACATTTTAAAAATGAAATGACAAAACGCTAACCTGGGCCACCATCCCCATCTGTGCCGTGTCTCCGGCAGCAGGTGCAAGGGAGAGAGGGAAGCTTCCCAGGGCCCCCGGCCAGCCAGCCTGCGCTTGCTGCCCAAATCAGGTTACCTTGATCAGGGTGATCCCCAGGGCTTTCTTGGGCACTCTCCCGGTGATCTCGTCGCAGACTCTGTGGATGAACTGGTGGGGAATGACAAACACCAGCAGGTCTGCGTCCTGCACCGCCTCACTGAGGTTCGGGACGGCTACCTGCAGTGGAGAGGGAGAAGGCTTACTTCTATTCCCAAATCTGCCCTGCCAACACCCCCACTGTCCCCTGCACAGACAGACAAGACAGATGACACACGGGATATGTGTCCCCCTCCTCCCGACTTCCTTCTGCAGCCTTAATCCCTGGGCACGTGACTTAGTCACACCATGCCTCAGTTTCCCCATCTACAAAAGGAAGTCGGAGGGGGAAATCACAGAAATCTTGCAGGGGTTGCTCTATGTTGCTTTCCTAAGCCCCCTTTCCTGCCTTTTCTTGCCTCACTCTGTTCCCCCAGGCCTGCTTTCTCGGGACTATTTGCCCAGGTGCATTACTCTGCCGGCTCCATGCTTTCCTGTTGTAACCAAGCCATCTGTGTGGATGTGGCCTCTCCCCTCTAACAGGAACTGTTCAAGCTAAAGGGTATCGAAGAAACTGGAACTGAGAACATGTTTCGCTAGGGCTTCTGGGGAATGTTTAGGTGTTTTCTGGAACAGTGTATAATGTGGTTGTGAGGTCCGGAACAGCTACAGCCATTTTATAAACAAGAGGGGGCATCTGAACCAGGGGCTCCCATACAAATCAAGCCAACTCTGGAAGGCAAAGAAAAGAAACCAGCCATACTGCCATCATTGAAGGCACTCACTGGTCCCATGCCACAGTGGTTTCAAACCACAGATTTAAGGCACTGGCTCAAGCTGGATCTCTTTTTTGGTTTTGTTGTTTTTATTCTTTGTTTTTGTTTTCAAAGCCAGGCATCAAACCCAGGTCTCATGCATGCAAGGCAGTGCTTGGTCACTGAGCCCCGTGATGGGCTCACGGGCCCTCCACGGCAACACAGTCACTCCCCATAAGCCAGGGCGTGTATCCACACCCACAAAGGTAGGGGGAATGGACTTCCCCCTTCTGAAGGGCTCCTTCTGGTGGGTGAGAGATTTGAGGATAGGTGGCACAGACTTATCGACTGCTTACTTGTGCCCTGGTATCGGGAAACCAATGTCTCCCGAAAAGCATTTCTTGCAGGTGAGCCTCTAGGGGGCAATGCATGGAGTCCGCCGCAGCTGTGGCCGGGGTCACTGTGCTCACGTGGGCACCAGTACTCCCCCACTCTCCTCCCGCTGTCCCCTAAATCAGTGATGCTGACCTCTGGGCGGGGGGCTCTGCTCTGTCCTCTCCTCGCCAGAGCCCAGTGGCCTGAATTTCCAGTATAACCTTTCCACTCCTCTCAACCTGGCACTTTCCTATCCACCCTCAACACACACACACACACACGCGCGCGCGCACATGCACCTCCCCTGGTGCCTGTCAGAGCACTTCCTGACATGGTAAAAGGGAAGAAGATTCTAGCACTGCAGGGGACAGACTCTGGCTTGTGCCCTGGTCGACACCTTGGCAGTCTGGGACGCTGGACAAACCACCTGTCTTCACTGACTTTCTTCACCCCAGCAGGGACCAGGGTTAAAAGGCACCTTCCAGCTACTCACAGAGCTCTTTCTAATCAAACACAAGTGTCAAGAGACGGGAGAATCTCCCACAAGGGGCCTTGCCAGGAGGAACAAGGGGTAAACTAAAGATAACAGAAATGAGGGCCAGGAGGACTGGTCTGTGGTAGGAAACCTGCCATAAATGGGGTGGGGGGGAGGGCGCAGTTAGGAAAGAGAAGAAGGAACCACTATAATAATGGTAATAGAAAATGATATCTCTGGACGAGAACTACGTGCTGAGGGGCTGGAGCGATAGTACAGTGGGTAGGGCGTTTGGCTTGCACGTGGCCAACACGGGTTTGATTCCCAGCATCCGGATATGGTCCCCTGAGCATCGCCAGGAGTAATTCCTGAGTGCAAAGTAGGAGTAGCCAGGTGTGATGCAAAAAAAAAAAAAAAAAAAAAAGGAAGTAAAATTATATACATTATAACCTTTCAGTTAGCAGGATCGTAAACCACAGTGCCTAAAAGAGAAAGAGACAGATAGACAGAGACAGAAAAGAAAGGTGTCTGCCATAGATGCAGGCTGGGGACGTGGGGACATGGGGACGTGGCGGGGGTGGGGGGTGGTAAGTTGGGGGATAGGTGGGGAGGGAATCTGGGGACACTGCTGGTGGGAAATGTACACTCCAAGGGACAGGTGTTGGAACACTGTATCACTGAAAAGGGGGGGAGGGGGGAGAAAAAAAAAGGGGCGGTCACCAGCACTTAGCCCTGGGCGTGATGCAGGATGAACTCTACTGCTTTGCAAACAAGCCCTGCAGACCAGCTGGCCCATGTCAGGGGACAAGTCTGCCTGCAGAGTGGAACAAGAAGGAGAAGGGACACTCAAGGGAAGCAGCTCAAGCCCTACCGGCCCCGGCTCTGCACAGTGCCGGTTCCAATGTCTGGGCTCAGTGTACGCAGCAACAGGTATTCCGAGCACACAGCACAGAGAGGGGTGGCGACACTGCCTGCCTTTCAAACAGCCTGTTCAACGGAGCCCCCTGGGGGGCAGCTGGCACGGGGGGTTCAAGGCCACATGCTGACCGGTGGCAGAGAGGCCCCTTCGCCTCCCCCAGTTCCTTCCTTCCTCCCCTGCAGTCTCGGGAAGGCGGCCAGGCCCTGGTGTTCCCCTCCCACTGCTAACGAGCTTGAATTTTAAAGTGCCAGTCATACAATGTTCTCTTTTCTCCTCTCTGTCTCTGGCGGCCTTGGTTCCAGGCACCAGGCGTCCTAGTGAGTCCACCCACTCCGAGGGGGCACCCAGGCGCTCCTGGGCACACAAGCTGCCAACGGCTATCAGCGATTCCAGCTTGGGGGTGATCGGCGCCATGAAAGAAAGTCAAGGGGCGAACTGTGCCAACACCCGCACCCCACATGATGACAGGTGCGCTGACATGCTGACTCCAGCATCTCAGAAGGGGGCCGCTGGCAGGCGGCTATGATGGTGATGATGATGATGATGTTTGTTTGGGGGCCATACTTGGCGATGCCCAGGGGTCACTCCTGGCTCGCCACTTCGGAATCGCTTCTGACAGTGCTGGGGGAACCACCTGGGATGCTGGGGATCGAACCCAGGTCTGCCACAGGCAAGACAAGCTCCCTGCCTTCCCGCTGTACACTTTGCTAGGTCCCTACAGATGGGCTCGATAGCTGTGATGCTGGGGACACGGGACTGGACCCGTGGGAGAAAGTCCACGCAGCTCAGCCAAGTGCACATGCGCACTGCGACTCAAGTGTACTCCCCCCACACACGCCCTCCGTGAACCCCGCAACTGAAAAAAACAGGGTGGGCATGGCAACCGCCCAGTTTGAGATCCCCAAGTTGTCACGACCACAGGAAGAAACAAAGAGATGGGGAGGGAAGAGGAAAAATGAGTATAATAAGAATGATTTTGAAAGGGAATTTGGTTAAAATAAGGTCATAGGGTGGTGGGGTATTTTTTTGTTTTGTTTTGGGTTGTTTTTTTTTGTGTGTGTGAGAGGGGGAGAAAGGGGGGCACCAAGAGATGGGTCAGGGACTACAGCGTCCAGTTTGCAATTCTGAGGCTGCAAGTTTAATCTCTGGTGCTGTGCAGGTGTGCTGAACATGATCCTGGCTGTTCCACTCTCTGTGATCCCTGGTGCATGGACCTCCGGCTTCAGTGTGGCCAGGGGTGTGCCTTGGTCTAACCAGACCAGTGAGGAATGCAGGCTCCTGACAATGTGATGCTGTGTAGGCCCTGTGTGCACCCACATCACGGCAGCTAGGAGTGAGCCCCAATGAGTGCAGGAAAAAGCAATGAGAGCACTTTGGCCAGGGGGGTGAGCTCGAGGGCACAGAAGGAGCGCTCCTGTGAGCATGGTGATGGAGCAAAAACCCCAGTCTCTGCAGCAGCAGAAACATCAAGGGGAAAAAGAGCCGGTGAGGAGGGGTCAGAAGAGCAGCCCCTGGGAAGGTGACCAGGCCTGAGAGGAAGAGGCAAGTGGAGCTACAGAAGCAAACTGAGCAAGGACGCGGGGATGATAAGGAGAGGGCATCAGACGAAGCCCAGACAGCCGACCCCTCAGATTTCGAACTTGAAGCCTCCAGAATTGTGAAAAAACTCGTGCTTGGGAATCACGAGACTCAGGCACAAACGATTGGGGGTGTCAGAATGAGGATGGACCCAGAGGTGACAGTAGGACAGTGTGGGGTGGGGATGGGGGACATGCCCAGGGCACCTGAGTGGGATGCAGTAGCTTTGTACATCATAAAAGTGAACACTATTATAACCCTAACCTAAACCATAAACCATCACACTCGTAGAAAAGAAAATGAATGCCTGGAATCTAAGCCACAGGGTCTGTGGTAGACCTCACTGATTTTCAAAGCAAAACTACTCACCCAAGCAACCACGAGTACAAAGGGACGAGGAAAGGTAAGAAGCTTTGCCATGCCCCCGTGTCCAGGCACAATGGCAGAGCATGTGGAGCCTGGAGAATTTAACCAACAGAATGAAACTGAGTGTTAAATTTAACATTTCATCCCCCAATTTTACCACATTTTCTGGCAGCTTGTGTCCAGGGAGATATTTCACATTCTCGTGGTCGTTGTTTATGATGTCCGTCAGTTTTCTTCCATTAACCGTTTCTTCAAAGACCCACATCTTGACCGTGGAGGCGAACTTGTTAAGGTTCTTGACATTATTACCGATGATTTTCGCAACAGCTGAACCCCTATGGAAGCAACCATGCAAAGAGAAAAAATATATTGAACTCAATTGAGCAGAAGATAAAAAATACCCCCTTGTAATTCCAAAGATTCTTGTTCCGCTTCTGAGTCAGATCAAGCATTGATTGATAGGGTCTCAGGCAAGCCATGTGGAACTTGGTTGTTTTGAACTTACAAACAACCCCTGCAATCAAGAAAACTCCGGAATCTGGTGCAAGGTATGAAAAGCAGCACCCTGGAAACTAGTGGGCCTCAACCTATGCTGAAACGCAGTAGGAGAGGCATTAAGCAAAGTCCACCTTGAAAAGAGAAGCAAAAAAGGGCATGAAGAAGACACCAGGAGCCGGAGTGATAGTACAGCAGGCAGGACATTTGCCTTGCACGCAGCCGACCCAGGTTCAATCCCCAGCATCCCATATGGTTCTCCAAGCACAACCAGGAGTAATTCCTGAGAGCAGAGCCAGGAGTAACCCGTGTGCATTGCTGGGTATGACCAAAAAGCAAAAATCACAAAAAAAGAACTTAGCACCACTGCCGGGACCACGCAATTGGACCAGGGATGGGGGAGAAGGGAGGGTCCCTTGACCCCAGCTGAGACAATCAGCTTCTCCTTCAGGATTCTGAACTGGGAAATAGCTGTTTTCCTGGGCCCTACCTAGCTTCTGAAAATGTGGGTTGCATAAGCCCTGAGCAAAGCCAGCTGTGGTCCCAAAACCAAAAAAGGAAATTAATGAATATTGTTATGAAAACAAACCAAAAAAAAAATCTCTATTCGTGGGCTGAAGTGAAAGTATAGCAGATATGGCATTTGTCTTGTTTGTGGCCAACCCGGATTCGATCCCTGGCATTCCATATGGTCCCCTGAGCACCACCAGGAGTAACTGGAGAAGGGAGAGCCAGGAGGAACCTCTGAGCATTGCCCAAATGTACGAACTATTCGAACTGAAGTGTTAGGGCATTGTTCTTCTAATACTCATTCTCAGGACAATTTGCTATAGGGGTGGTAACAGAAGGAGAGAAGGAAATTGTGCCCTTAAGGAGCAGCCTCCTGGAGATCTTTCTCCTTAGTCTCTGACAAATCTGTCTTTCAAATTCACCACCACACATTAACCCATGCACTTTAACAACAATTGGAAAAATTTAAGTGATTGATTTCCCCTTTCTAGACAGCAGATGGATAAACCAAGCCAGGATTCTCTGCTTTGGCACCATACTGAGAGTAACCCGGGAGGATTTAAAAATCCAAAGTCACAGGGGCCAGAGAGATATTACATGAACGTGGGCCGTGCACACAGCTGCCCTAGATTTGATCCCCTTTAGCAGCCAAAACACTGGGGGTGTGGCCAACCTGCCCCCACAGAAAAGAAAAGAGGCAGGATTCTCCCAGCATATCTCTATCACCTTTATCTTAATCTTGAAAGCATCTGCTCACCTACTCACAGGCAGATAACATCTCAGCTCCAACTGTTCCTGGCATCATTAATTGCACTCACACACAGCCAAAGAGAGCACGAGGGATTCTGGGAATTGAGCAACTTCCTGGTGGACCAGGGTGTGTGTGTGTGTGTGTGTGTGTGTGTGTGTGTGTGTGTGTGTGTGTGTGAGAGAGAGAGAGAGAGAGAGAGAAAGAGAGAGGAAACCAGGAATCCAAGTCAAGTAAATCAAATGGGAAAATAGATCAGAGCCATGACACCCCAATATCTTACTGAAGCAATACTATACTTGAGTCTCCCTTTAAATCAGCCTCTTTTTTTCCCAGTAGTATAACATTTATTTCATCATTTCAGTCAAATTAAATCAGCCTCTTTCTTGGATGGACCAGATATAGTGGGTAAGGCGCTTGCCTTGTACTCAGTCAACCCAAGTTTGATCCCCAGCACCTCAGCAGATCCCTCAAAGAGGAGTGATCCCTGTGCACAGAGCCAGGACTAAGACCAGCGCACGGCCAGGTATAGCCCCAAATCAACATAAAAGCAAATAATAAAATAAAGCAGCCCCTTGGTGAAATTAAGCATTCTGTACCCAGAAGCAATCACATAGCAACTGCCTAAAATAGAAAATTCAAATGAAATTTGGAACTGTGAAAAAGAACTAAGGCCACCACACTACACTGTTGTGGGGGGTGGGGGGGTGTCAGTGGTACTTCAAACAAGCAAACAGAAATTCCTATTACATTATATACTCATGTGATGTCACCAGAATCTTATTCATCATTTACTTTATTCTGGGGCTGAAGAAACAGCACAGCGGATATGGCATTTGCCTTGTACATGGTTGACCTGGGTTTGATCCCAGGCATCACATATGTCCCAAGTATTGCCAGGAGGGTTTCTGAGTGCGGAACCAAGAGTGGCCCCAAAACAAAACAAACAACAAACCAAAAGCACTGTTCTCACTCTCAACTTAATTATCAATGCACTACTGTATTTCAGGCACTGGGCAAGATGCTGGTGACAGAGAAAAGGCCAGCATTTGCTGCTCTCACAAAGCCTATCGCCCACTCAGAAAGGAACCAGGCTACATAAATGCCCAATCCTGTGTGAAATGAGAAGGGCAGGACAACCTGAGACGGACATTAACACACTGGCCTTGACCATCCCTGGTGCTTGTTCAGGAGCAGCCAGATGGCAGCCATCAACGGACAGCACAGGGAGAAGACGCAGGACCCCTGAACCTCTCCTGAGAAGCAAGAAGGACTTCACAGACAGGTCGGGAGGAGTAGCAGAGCGGAGTTTTCCAGTCAATATGCAGCAAATGGCAGGCATGCCAGTGAGCCGGGCCAGGCCAAGAGCCACCCGGGGGATCCAGACTCAAAAGCAACCACAGCTAAGGAACAGGAAGGCACAAGGCAAAGCTTGAAGCAACCAGAGCAATCACAGCATGGACAGACAGATGAGCTCGAGACAGACACAGACAGACAGACAGACAGACAGACAGACACACACACACACACACACACACACACACACACAGAGTCCTTCTTCCTTCTGAGAAGGCGAGAATGGAGCCACACACACACACAGTCCTTCTTCCTTCTGAGAAGGCAAGAATGAATCCCCCCCCACACACACATGTTCCTTCCTCCTTCTAAGAAGGTGAGAATGGAGACACACACACACACACACACACACACACACACAGTCCTTCCTGAGAAGGCGAGAATGGAGACACACACACACACACACACACACACACACAGTCCTTCTTCCTGAGAAGGCGAGAATGGAGACACACACACACACACACAGTCCTTCTTCCTGAGAAGGTGAGAATGGACACACACACACACACACACACACACACACACAGTCCTTCCTGAGAAGGCGAGAATGGAGACACACACACACACACACAGTCCTTCTTCCTGAGAAGGCGAGAATGGAGACACACACACACACACACAGTCCTTCCTGACACACACACACACACACAAAGTCCTTCTTCCTGAGAAGGCGAGAATGGAGACACACACACACACACACACACACACACGGTCCTTCCTCCTTCTGAGGAGGTGGGAATGGAGCTGCTACCTATGGGCAGGAGTGGTGGTGATCTGGTTGAGGAAAGAAACAGTGGATTCAGTTCAAAGACAAAGCCAGCAAAGAGGCATGAAATAGTTCTAGCACTGGAAAGGCCCGCCTTGACAATCTGGAGATTTTCAGCTCCTGTGATCATCTTTCCTGGGGCAAGGGAGGGAACTCAAAGAACTGAAGCCTGTACTTGGTATCAAGAGCCCCAGGTTTCCTGCAGCCGACCTGGACCCAGGACCCCTGACACCCATATGGTGCCTCCCTACCATACCCGCCACCCCCCCATACCAGGAGTGATCCCTGAGCAGTCAAGAGCACAACTGGGTGTGGCCCCCAAACCAACAATAGAGAAAGAATGGAAAAAGGACTAAGAATTTCTTTCTTGGGTCCAGAGCGATAGCACAGCGGGTAAGGCACAATATCATCAGGTGTGGCCCCTGCCAAAACAAGCAAATTTAAATAAAGCAACCACAGTTCTTTTATCTTGAACTTTTTTTTTTATCTTGAACCCAACATTTCCTTTGTTGTTTACATTTCTGTGGGGTGGTTGTGCCACACACAGCAGTGATCAGGGACTATTTCTCAGGGATCACTTCTGGTGGTGCTTGGGGGATCATCTGGTGTCAGACAATCAAGCTAGATCAGGCAAGTGCACCGCAGCCTGTGCGATTCTCTCCAGTCTCTATTTTGCCCCTCTTCCCCCCACCACACACACACACACACACACACACACACACGCAAGCACACACATGCCTGTGTTTACAAAACTACAAAAAGTAAGATCCACCTGGCATCACAAAGGCCAAGATAAATGACAAGCTCCCAGCTAGAAGACCATGTGGTCAAAACACTGAAAGTTCTTCCTCTCTCAGATCAGGAACAAGACAAGGATGCCCACGCTCACTGCTTCTACTCAATACAGTACTGGAAGTCCTAGCAGATAAGGCCAGAGAAAGAAACAGCGTAGGCAAATCTTGGACATGTAAAACGTGCTGTTTCGTGATCCTGTGAGTTGAAAAAGATGTGCTCATACACAAATCCTGTTGGAACTAACAAACCAATCAGGTTGCAGGAGACAAATCCAACATAGAACAATCAGCCGTGTTTCTATACATTGGCAAATGTACAGAAAAGTACAAGAGGAAAACAGTCTCATTTACAGCAGCATCAAAGAGAAGAAAATTGGAAGAAACTCAATTAGGGAGATAAAAGACTGAGAGAACTACAGAACACTGACATCAGAGCCCAGGCAAGTAAACGAAGGCTGCATGCATGGCATGGAAGGCTCAGGTTACTAAAAATGTCCATTCTGGAACTGGAGAGGTAGTACAGCATCTAGGGCACTTGCTTTGAACAAGGCTGACTAGGTTTGATCCTTGGCAACCCATATGGTACAGAGATAGGAACAAGCCCTGAGCACTGCCAGGTGTGGCTCACAAACAAAACAAACAAATAAAAAATATCCGCCCTTG